CTGCAGAAAATGTTTGGGAACAACTGCTGCAAGGCCGAGGTCTTTTGGAAATGTAAGTTAATATACGTTTAGTATACAACATATTTCCCATAATTGGAAGTGACTTCCTGGATCCATCAAAGCAAATCAGTGAGGTCTCTGTGTGAGTGAAAACAGTGGGAGGGATAAAGTCGAGGCAACCGCTCCATGTACGACACAGCAGACTGGAAAAGGTCACAGGTTTAAATCATTTTGTCTGTCTTCACACCAAATCATTTCATGACAATTGGCAGCAGCACCGAGAAATTCTTGCTGAACACAAAGTGACTGTACATTCAGGTCTAACAGAGGGAGGAGCGGCAGGACTGGGGGAAGAAAAGCAGTCGGCCAGTATTTTTCTTTTGACTCTAGAAATGTGTCCTGTCATCTAACAAGTTTCCGTATGAAGAGCGGAGGGTTTGGATGGATGTGTCTTATATTTCACTCCAGACAGTTTAAATCCCAGGAGACGCTGCAGCTCACATCCACTCGGCAGTGCAGACCGTTGGCCTGCTCCACATCTCGCTCTCCACAGTTTCAGGGCTGAGCAAAACCACGAAATAACTATTAAAAACCAAGGAGCCAATTCGGAGCGTAGAGGAGAGTGCTGGAGACACATGCTATCATTTAATAGATGTGCCTGATGCTACGGGGAGTTGTCCAAAATTAGCAATGGAGTTTTAAGTCTCAGCTCAGACCCAATATAGCTCTGCTGTCATTGCTGACTGAGAAATACTGTGGCCTCCTTACGTGATGACTGGAGGAGTTGGTGTGTGATCATTGTAGAAATAGACATTCAACACTTTCTCACAGTAGAGGACAGAAAGGTCTGATGGTGACTGATGCTCTATGGACACATCAAAACACAACTTATTTGACATTCCTGGAAAAGGGTTAAAATAGGTCCTGTATATGTTTTCACCACGAATAGATAATGATATATTTAAGACTAAAAATATATGAATGCTTGGCCTCGGTCGTTGGTAATCTTTCTATAGGTTATAAATAAGAGTGTAACCATCAAGTTCCTAATGTGAAATCCAGTCGACATTAGAACCAGAACCACCAGAGGGCGACTTCAGTAGAATATTACATTATCATAGTAAAATATGACTATGACTGGACTGGTCCAGGTTCTGCTCCACCTAGTGGTAATTTAAGTACTGCACAGAGACCAACAGTGTCCCCGAAACAGGTTTATGATACCCTCTTGGGAGCAGTGTGTGGGGACGGTGCTCAGTGGCAACTTGGCATGTGGTGGACTCAAACCTGAAACCTTCCTTAACCACCAAGCCACCTCTGCCATAGAAGAGGTTCAGAGGCTCTGTTGTTTGCCAGGACACTACTGTAAATAAGAATTTGTTCTTAATGACTTGCCTGGTTAAATAAAATAAATAAACATGCACATTTTCCACAGTAAACGTGTGGTTTCTACGTCAGATTCTCTCCTGCATGTTCCTTTGTTTGGTTTCCAGATGAAATCACACATCATTTTCCACACACTGAACTCATTCATTTGGTGTATGGAGTCTGGAGGAGCTGTAGAGCCAACGTGCTTGCTAGAGAACCTTGATAATAACCTAAAATAGTCATGTGCTCCAGACCAGAGTAAAAGGCGCTCTTAGATCCATCAGCCGCTGTCCTTCAGGTTTATCTTAGGGAGCTCTGCTCCTCCGAGCAGGCATGTGAGTACGAGTAAACAGTAGGCATCCCACAGTGACCTAACTCAGTTAAAACTCCACAGTGCTTCTAAACATCCACCTTCACGGGACATTTCATTGCCAGCGCAGTGTAAATGTGCTTATATAAAGTCCATACACTTTAGGTTATAGGATCCTTGGGACATTATGTGCCTGCGTCTCAACAGAACAATGTCAAACTATGAAAAGGGATGAACAATTGAAGTTCAGACTCTGTTTTGAATGTAAAGTTAAATAATGCATTACAGCTAATGTACAATAACACTAACAGATACTAACAGTTGAAGGGAAAACAAGCCAGAATGTTTCAAAGTTTTCCAGGGTTTCTGTATTATAGACTCACACCCCTTCGCCATATTATCTTTGGATCTGGACTACGTCAAATTTCCAGACAAAGTGGACTAAAGCCAAAAATGAACTGAGGAATGCCACCAATAGTGCTGTGAGAAGAAACACTGATAAAAATGTCAGAGAACAGGTGTACTGTGAAAAAACACAAATTACAAAGAAGGGGAAATATTTTTTAAAAGACTTATGTCCAAAAGTTTTCTTTCCTTCACAGATAAATCTAAAAAAGAATGTAAGAAACCTGGTCAGATTTAAATGTTGTCTACAAAAAGAAAGGGGGAAACATGGCCCTGCCCAAAACCTAAAAGCCTTTCCTGACGTGCATTTTTTCCAAACCCCACTTCCTCCTTCATCCAATTTCTTCAGAACTGGAGAGAACTGGCTAAAGGCAGAAACTCTCTCCCTCGGTGTTCTTTACAGTCACCACAGTAGGCCCTCAGAAACTTCAAGCTATAGAATCTTATACTAATGGCAATCTTCACCTATCCTTTTGTGTTTTTCTTATTAAATAATCATTCAGCTCAGTAACTCAACTGGAAAGACTGGACCCTAAAAAGGCAAATTGTCAAAGTGATAAACACACAGATTTGAAGAGTATTATTAACATGCTATTACTGGCTGCATAACTTCAGAGCATGATGACTCTCAGTTTCACCAGGGCTGTTCTTAGCACAGGCCAGTGACTCCATTCCATTACAGTATCACATCAGAGCACACACTAATGGGCCTCTAACTGCAGTGGAAATATACATAAATATATGGCTTTAAGAAGCGTACGGGGTGTTTTTGTTTCTCCAACTAGGCACGGAGAAGTGCTGAAAGTGTGAAAGAGGAGATTTGAGCCAATTATGTTTGGTTAAGCTGTGGGTTAACCAGATCACGGAACAAAGCATGAACTGAATCTCTGCCACGTTGTGAGGATTAGGAATGGCACGAGCCACTGAAAAAAAACACCCCTCTGAGTTCATTGATTATAAGGCATTATGGATGCCACAGATGACTAGACCACAGACTAGACCACGGTTTGGACATTAACGTACACTGAGCGAAGTTTCAAACCCTGCAGGTAAGATTTATGAAAATATTTTTAGAATTTCTTTTTTTTCTAATTATGACTAAAAACACCACACAGAATATTAAACTGCTGTGATTTTTTCTTTTCTTTCATCAATATGAATCAAGTTAAAATAAAATGCAGGGTTTAAAAATATCTGAGCTGGCGCATCTGTATGAATCAAGTTAAAATAAAATGCAGGCTGGCGCATCTTGATTGACGGATGCGATCACATGACTGACATGGTGACAGCTACTAAAATGTCTCTGAGGTTGCCAGAAATTTGTGATGTCAAAATGGGGTCACAACCCCAACCCCAAGTTTGGGAACCACTGTGTTAGAACCAAACAGGCGACCACAACCATGATGCAGTGATTACTAAAGGGAGTTTGCATTCAATCTGTTAAACTTTTACATAATTAAGAACAAAAAAAAAAAACAAAACAATTTTTATCACTCACATTAATGCCTATGGTCAGTTTGAGTGTCCAGTTGGCCAAAACCTGTGTGTCTTGTTACTCCTCAGAGTGACCGTCAGGGATTGACCAGCGAACCTCTGGCTGAAACACAAGAGAAACAACACATTTTTCACCACGTAACCACGTCACAAATCCTGAATAAATTTAGGCACTTAATATTAAGTATGATTTGCATTTTATTATAAGGGAAATAGATCAGATATCTTACCTGGCCTTGAACACCACTGGCAGAAACACAGCCCTAAACCATTCCAGAGCATTTGTAAAGGTTACTGATTTGATACATTTTTCTCTGACTTTTCCCGACAGAGTGAAACAAATTCAAAACTCAAAGTGAACTCACTTCTTTTTCTTTTAAGCTCTTCTGTTAATCTTCAGAGCAATGATTCCCTTGCTTTTGAACAATACTACACACAAAGAAACAGCTTGAAAAATCCAAAGGAGCTGAAAGAATGTAAAGATGGGTCACGGAGTGCACAAGAAACCCCAACTCCCAGAGTGTTTTCATTTTTCTTCGCAGTCATCACGCCGACCATGGTGCCGCATTCTGCCAAGAGGAATTTTTACAGTAAAGGCCTAGAAATGTACGACCCTATTGGAAACTTAATTATAGCTATAAGTGAGTGGTTTACTAATAGGCCCGAAATCATGAGGTCCAGGACAATAAGAGGAAGGATTGAAGCAGACCACAGGACTGCTTTACATCATTAAACTACTGAGGTTTCAATAGCTTTGTAAAAATGCCAGATTTAACTAGATAAACATCCTCCTGGTGCTGGAGACAGAATATGGAGGGAGACAGAAGGAGGCTCAGAGCTGGTGAGTGCTAGACGGGCACTCCCAGTCCAACACATGGCTTCAGTTTCCCCCGCTTCACTGTGTGGCCTGGCCTTGTGTGAGACCCAAACGCTCAAACATCCAAATATGGTGTTCATTAGGATGTGCTAGATTATTGTGGATCACTGAAACACACACTGGTACTGGACCCTGCTGATGTAAAGATGGATGTTGTACATGGTATTGTTTCATAAATTGTTCAAGTCAAATTACTGGCTGCAAAAGGTCACATGATGTTTGGAGTTATTTAAAAAAACGCTCCTGTGAAATGCCATTCTTGACCTAACTATTCTATGGAAACCACTACATGCTTGTAGGTCTGGTCTGTGAACAAAGTGAGGGAAGAAAGAAAAAAAGAAAACACATCCACTGTGTCCTTATTTGGTCTGACTGACTCTAAATGCCAATGCCTCGAGTAGAACATATTTCTCCAAACAATCACTGACCCCTTCAACTCGGCAATGAAGGACGATACTGACATCTGCTGGTAAGAATGTAGCGCGACATTTTCTTCTGTTCTACATCGGTACAAGGTTTCTGCAAAAAAGAGTAAATAAATATTATTTCAATGGAAGTATTTATTTTTATTTGTTTTATTTTTGGTGAATACAAAAAATACCTCTGTGACCAGATAAACATCATACATACAGCATAAAATCATAAAACAACCAACAAAAGTCTGTCGAAGAAACCACAACATCAATTCAATAAGAGACTTGTTTCTGTTTCTGTAAATACTCAGACAAATCAGTTAGACAATATATTTCAGGGTATTTCTTACATTTAATGATAAAAACTTATTTTTCCTTTCCTTTTTTCCTTAACAGTAATCAGACGGAATCAGATGGAACGAGGACATGATTTGAACACAAATCGCCACATGCTCATGGAATGCAGTCTAGTGTTAGTCTTCTGATATGGTCTCTAAGTCCTAAGGTATCCACAGATGCCCTTTCGTATCAGCATTATAACATTGTGGGCAGGTACGTTTCCAGCCAAGGCATCGAACAGTATGGCAAAGGAGTAGATGACAGTTTATTAAGACCACCATGGGCATTAAAATGGCATCTGTTCTGATCCGGAGAGGAGCAGACTTGAGTAAGGCACTAGTACACAATGCAAACCAGACACTGGCATGGACAGACCCAGGAGATAAACTAGTAAACATTTACAATACATATAATACAATACTGTACTAAGGAAAAGAGAACTAATCAGTTTCCATGATGGGAAACGTGAAAACAAACCCTCCACGTTTATTAATAGTGTGTGTCCGACATTTAAATATATTAGAAGCTTTAAATAGTCTTCTTCAGTGCGTAGTTTATGGGATATTTCAGTGCATAAAGTATGATTGTTTCACCAAAGAAAGAAGCCATTAATGACTGCACACCTCCGACTCTCCTGTCACTCAGTAACACAGACTCGTTCTTCATCACTAACCCGTGCAGAATATTCTCAATTCTACTGTATTGCTGTAGACTGTCAGTCTAATGCCTCTAATGCCAATGACAACAGGGTCACAGGAGAAAAGTAACTGTGTGATTGGTTGACTTTGAGTGATGGGGTTTCCAGTGATCCACCAGGCAGAAATGGTCAATTAAACCAATCAAACCAACTATTGCAGGTCCTACAAATCTGAAAAGTCCAAATCTGGTGCTGGGGTATCCAAAATATTGGCCACGAACTGGCCCAACATAAGCAGCCTTTACTTTGTATCATAAACACACATTTCTGATATTTAAAATTCTTATTTTTTTGTGCAATCTCTCCATGATTTGACCCATTTTATTTCTATGTGGTGAAAGCTGTTGTTGCTCCAATCGAATAATTTGAACATATTATACTTATATATTTCTTTCTACAAATAAAGAACACAAAATATACCCCTCTCGGGCTGTACAATGGGAATTTCTATACATCCTGGAAAGCTGACGTGGGCCACTGAATACCAAATATGGGCAACTAGAGACTGGAAATTCTTCGCTGCACGTCGGCCATGTCACTGTGACCTTTTCTACTCTGTAGGGCAACCGTTGCATGTTCCTAATGTTAATGAAAAGAGACGGTAACACATGAAGCCATAAGAAGAGGAACACAACAATTACTGTAAACATCGTACAATATATTCCTTACATATTTCTGTGTATGTGAGGGAAGAACATGAGGGGCAAAATGAAGCACAGGCAACATATTTGGTCACACGTGATCCGAATTCTAACAGAGATTACAACTGTCCACTTTCAAATAACTACATGAACCATATAAAAGTTGTTGTTTTTTTTCGTTTTGTTTTTTCAAAGAATAAATATATTTATAGCGTTCTTTTCAAATCGTATTGGTTTCCTACTCCAATCAGAGTACCTCATTGTTTGGTGTCAAGCTGACAACATCGATAAATCAGAAGGTTCAAATCGGCTGATCAACAAACCAAATTCACACTGGGTTAGTCATTTCTATTAGTAATATATACTACAAGTGCTTTTCTCTATACTACTCTATTGGTTAGTAGCATCACTGATATGTCATATGGTGCATGCAAAGCTGTGGTGAAAGGAAGAATTTCCTCTCCTTCCTTTTTTTTTAATTAATTAATTAACCTTTAGACTTTTTACATAGAAAGATAAACTTTAAGGTAAAAACCTCTGGAGAGTTTTGGAACTGGCAGAGAACATTTCAGTTTTTGTAAAATATTTGCTCTGAACCTTCAGTTTCTAATTGGACATTCGTTGATTATAGATGATTTCTTCATTCACAACATTGTCAGGACTGTAACAGTCAGTATTAACACTGCGTTTTCCATCATACAACACCATCTCACACACCTTCAACCTATTTATATGGACAACTTTCCAACCATTGATACATACAGTACACACACATGCGCGCCCACACACACACAATAAAGCACAGGCACTTTTTTCTCACCAAACAGGCCTGTTTCAAGTGCTGTGTATTACTCTGTTATCACTCTCTGCTCTAAGGGAGTTGAGCAGCCATTCGTACATCGGCAACACCGTCCTGATTAGACCATCTCACTCCAGCGGAGCCCAAGCCAATCAGCCTTCATCTTCTCTCAGCTCGCTGGGCAGAAACTTGTATTGCTGCTGTCGGATCTGAGCGAGCTTCTTCCGAGCTTCTTCCAGCTCCCGCTCCTTCCTCAGCATCTCCTCCTGAGCTGCAATAATCTGAAAAACATGACAGAAAAAATACGCATATTTGGTCATTTGGTCAAAAATGCAACTAAATCAATGAGACATTGGCACCCATCCATCCGTCACATAGAGGTATTAACCAAGATAGAAGTTAAAAAACAATTGAAAACAAACATGTCAAATTTTTAGAGAGATAAGTTATAGAGATATAAAAAAGTTTAAAAAGATGTTGATGTAATGTTTTGAACAGGTGGTGAATTTGATAAGATACAGTACAACACTATGTGATATGATGACTTATGATATGATGATACTATAAGATCCAAACAGGGTCATAAAAGTCAGCAGCAGCAGGGCTGCAGTTCACTCACACAGGAAAATGAAACAGTCACCGTTAAAATGTCAAAATGACTCACCAGACAAGGGCAAATAAACACAAAGGGGTACAAAATTCAGTAAATAGACATAAGACAGAGGTAGTGGCAACGGAAAATTGTGGAATTATGAAAATGGGAACCTGAATATGATACATGAAAATCAAGTGACTTTTGTTTCTGTCTCACCTGAGCTATCCCTCCAACAAATTTGGTCTTTACCACCACACTGTCGTCTTCAGTTTTGTCAAAGGCTGCTTTCTGAGCCGCCTTCACCAGATTGTCCGATGCCCGTTTCACTGCGTTGCCAGCAGCCTGCGTAGAGATGTAGTACATCAAGTACATCTATTTCTTTACACATACAGATGTTGACGTGTCGCTGTGCAGTACCTGCAGCCTCCTCATGGCTTCAGAGTCCTGGTCCGCCTTCACCTTGCAGGCCACCAGCAGCTGAGCTGTGGAGGCTGCGACTTGTTTGGCTGAACAAATCAGCTTCTCCTCACTGGCGTGGCCCTGAACTGAAGCGTTTGCAGCCTCACACAGATTACTGGTGGCTGCTGCCACCATACGAGCCTACGTCAGACACACATTCACACATGCTCATTTTGTTCTTTCTTCAGTATGTTTTCAAATGATAAAGAGTCTTAAAGTGACAGTGTACCGCTGAAATGAGACCCTGCGACCACTGGCCGTCATCGACTGCATTTGCCAGATTTGACCCCACCTAGGGGTTGAAAAGAGAAATCCATGATTTAACGTACATTGGTCAAGTTCCTGACTGACTTTCTCTCTGTATGTGTGTGTGTGTGCGCACTGACCTTGCCCTGTGCCACTAGTTCTCTCTGAGCCGCTGACGCAGACTTGACAAGAGCACTAGTTGCCGCAGCAATTGATTTTGCAGCTTCTAATATCTGCTCCTCAAAATCCAGTGTTTCATCTGCCTTCTGGGGAAAAAAACAATAACTTTTGAATTAGTGATGAGTTCTGATTGGACAGTTTAAAAGAGTTCAAATCACATTTGAAAGAAACACTAGAATAAAAGAAACACAATATATAAAATATTTAAAATAATAATGAGTTGTAAAACATTTTGTGTCACAATAATAAAGCAAGATTTAATCTAAACTTGTTGTTTTATTATTTTATTATCCTTTCTAACATATATTTTTAACATCACTGTGATGTTTTCTTTTTGTCTGAAATATTTCCTAACGTAAAAATTAATCATTAATCACTGACTGCCATTAAACTGTAAACCTTACAAGACCTTGTAAATATCTTGAGTGCTAGTGCTAGTACTTTACACCAGAGTATTTCCAAAAAAAAAACAACAACTCTTTCCTGAACCGTCAGCACCCTCTGCAGTAGGTTTATATATACAAACACCTTTTGTTCAGTCACAACAGAATGGCATTTAAACACAATACTTCATTTTCCAAACCCAGTCCCAGTATATCAGTCCAAGGACCTTTAATAAATAACCATCTCTGCCTCACAGCTCCACGCTATTCAGCTGACATTTGTCTAGACCTCAGTAAACACATAAGGCACACTTGGCTGGAGATAGGGCGGGACACTGTAGGAATATGTTTGATATATAGTTGGACTGAATAACAACCTAATATATCAAACATATCAGACAGAGCCCTGCAGAGAAAACTTCCAGGTCTACAATGGCTCAGAAAATGGGAAAGATGGAGGGAGGAACGAACATGCTGGGAGCAGTGGAGCTCCTTGTCCAGACACAGGGGCAGGAGGAGGTGGAGGCACAGAGGAGAACAGGATGAAGAGAAAGTAAGGAGGCCAAATCCAGACGCTTTAACAGAGATGAATGAATATTTGAAGTGCAACCATCTGCACTATTGGATTGATTACACGGTGACTCGCTGCCTTTGTTTTGTCACATTCATTACCTCCGTCTCTCAACACATTTCAGTGTAAATTACGAATCAATATGTTGTTTTTTCTATTAGGTAATAATTTAAGGAGAAAATTAGATACAGAACCAGCTAGAAATAACAATCTATTCACCGATGGCTCTGTACAATAAGTTTTTAAGGAAATATTTCAATCTTTATATCTTAATATTTACCATCTCTATCAAATAAATGTTTTTCCTAAGTGGGCAGTCATCGTGGCTTTTTAGTGACAGACTCTGAAAGTCTAAAGTTTGTCTCGACTAGGCATATTTAAATAAATACAACATTTTGAATCAAACAAAATGTGATAAAAACAAACTGGCTGGTCATGAATTGTTGATTAACCTGAAAAATCGTCTCTGAAAGGAGGCGTTGAAAATGCAGGCGACCCTTCAGTTCATCTGTAGCTCATTTCAAAAATCATGTTTGAAAAACAAAAACAAATAAAAAGCCTTGAATGTGTGTAACAAAGATAATCAGCCTAATTATTTACTATATAAGTTCAGTGTCAAAGCAGAAGAATCTGCCAACCAACAGTCTGGTAACTTGACTTCACTGGCATTAGTTAAAGAGCTTTTTTTTTGTTATTTAGAGATTTGTTTTACATGTATTCATTATTGCATAAATATTATTGCAATGAGACATTTCTGTTAGTATTTTTCTGAGTATCAACACATAATAAACCGGGGTGGTTTCAGTTTTATTTGACATCACTAGGGGGAGACATTCCCATCTAAAAGAGCAAATGCCTTGAAATGACTAATACATTTTTTCATAACCCGCAGTCAATGCCAGTGGGATTAAAGTATAAGACGGAGATTTATATTTGTTTTTATTAAAACTGAGGTAACCAATATAAACAGCCCTTCGTGTCGTTCAGGCCGAGGGTGGAAATGACAATTACTGTGCACAGGAAAAGGTGTAGAAAAGGGGGAAACACTACAGGCAGCACACAACGCACAACACTGGGATCCAGCTATTCAGTCTCCGGAGACAGCTAAACAAACACACAATGAACATACAGTCACAAAACACACACGCATACTCACACACAATCCAAAAAAGCACACAAAATGACAGGATTTTTTTTTCTTCAGTTTTCAAAGGCTCAAACATGCCCTGTCTTTTGTCTGCTGTGAATCATATGTTGAAGCTGGTTTGTTTTAGAGGTAATGGAGAAGATGAATAACAATGTGAAAAGCCTCCCTGAGTGCAGTTTAGAAATAAGGACCAGCTTAATAAAGCACAGGAAATAAGTTCAAAAAGACAGGGGCGCTCCCTTTCGGAAAAGGTCATCACACAGTTGAACCAATTCCAACATAAGCTTTGAGGCCCCGACAGAGGAATTAAGTCTCCTGGCAACATAACTTTAAATTATGATCAGAAGTGTGTTTGAAGAAAGCTTTGTGTGTGTGTGTGTGTTTATGTGTGTTAGCTCACTGGACCAGCTGTGGGAGTTGACACAGCCAGTGTAACAAAGACCTGTTTTTTTTTCCCTTTAATGTTACCAAAATAGCAGCTCAGTCACTGAAAATGATGACTTCATGTCAAAGTCAGTGTCACCTTCTTCAACCTGCCGCCCATATGTTCTTCCTCCCAATTAATGGCAACAATGTGTAGTGTGTGTGTGATCCTGGTGTAGCTACACTTGTGGGCACATTTGTTTGGCTAAATGCCAGTGTTGAGGGGAGAATTTATTTATGGGTACATTTTGTAGGTCCCCACCAGGGGGTGCTTTAATTTAGTTTTAAAGTTACAATTAGACTGAGGGTCACATCAGAATGGGGTAAGATATTAAATTAAATATTTTTAATGGATACGGGAAGGAAAAGAGGAGACGAAATGTATTATATTGATGTGAAGTGATCACACAAACATCAGTGTGTGTGTGTGTGTGTGTGTGTGTGTGTGTGCGGTAGTAAATTATAACGGTGCTTATACCTTGGGTTTGGCTCTGGGCTTTAGCTGTTCCAATTTATTCGCAGCAGCTTCAATGAATGCCGCTGCGCCGAGGAGCTCAGTCTCAGCGATGACATTCGGGTCCTCGGGATCCACACACTCTGATCCTGCGAAGGATCCACACACTGGTTTAAGTTGTCTTATCTGGAATAAACCCTCATCAGATCAACGTCACTCGTGATGATGAAACAAAAGGTCAACAATAAGTGTTCACAAAATCCAAGTCACTTCCCAGTTGGCTTCGCCAGGATCAAAGTTTATGAGCTATTTAAACTGTTTTCAGCAGAACTTTAATTTCTCGCAATACAAGTAAAAATTAATTAAAAGCAAAAGGAAATACTCACTCCATAGATCATTTAGTGTTTATGGTCTTTAAAGTGCTCATAAAATGGAGCAGTTGGGGAACAGCTTGGTAACACAGATGGAACAATGTTTTTGTAAATTTCTCCAGGCTCTGGGGAAATCTGCTCTGCAACCTCACCCCCAGAGCCAGAGAGTCCTCTAGCCCTTAGTGACTTTGTGAAAAGTGATCTTAAGGAACAAAAAAAAAAAGCACCGTATCCCACTTACCTCCATCTGAGGCAGTGAGGGGGAGGAGCAGGGGGAGAGAAAGAGGGAGAGAACACATGGGACATTAGAGAGGTGAAGTGGATAGCCCCGCTGGGTCTCAGGCTGTACGCTGAAATCTAATTCTGGCCCAAAAACAATCTATTACTGCTGTCACATGTGGCAGTGCAGTTTGTGCAGGAAGTCTGCAGTCCAGTGGGCCGGTGTCACAGCAACGACGGCACCGAGCTTCATCTGGAACAATTTGCTGGCAATTTCTCTAAGGTGCAATTTCAATATTCTGGAGTGATTTTCATGTCAAATCTTTAATAAGGTGAGAAACCAGTCTGCTGGCTGTAATATTCATGTTCAACACCTTGTTTTTTCTCTCTCTCTCTTTAATAATTCGCCTTCAGCACCAAATAGAAATATCTTTGATTTGATTTGCTCTGCCAGGTTTATAATCCAGAACATGTCAATTGTTAAAATTAAAATTTAAGAACAACAATGCAGAGAAACATCATGTAAAATCATGCATCTAAAATCTGAAAACAAGGTGAGTCATTAGGAAAGATAGCTGGACACAAATGATCAGAAATGTTAACGATGAAAGAAAACCGTCACATGTGCACATCTGCTACATCTGCTACATCTGTGTGTGTCTTTGTGTGTGTGTGTGTGTGTGTGTGTGCCCTCACCTTTCATGGCCTCAGCTGTCTGGATGAGCTCCGTCACACATGCAGCTACACGTTTGGAGTGGACAGCCAGCTGCTGTTTCTGCTCCACTGTGGGTTTCTGCAGCACCTGGAAACATGAGAGGCAGGGTTAGGATTAATACTAACTCCGACCTTTGACCTTATCCTAACCTCTAACCTTAAACCCAATTTACTATTCCATACACTACCACTTTTCTAACCCTAACCTTAACCAACTTCTTATTGTAGCAGCAGTTGAATCACAGAAACACAAACCAAAGATAATTTAATTTAACCCTAACTCACTCGAAGATGTCACTAATCCAAACCACTCCATATGACCGTACGCCCTCTGGGATTAAATAATGTTTCCCTGCATATGGACAAGAGCGCCCTCTCAAATACTACATGTTGACATCACTGCTGAAGAATTGAGCAGTCAATCACCAACACTTCTATCTGCTCTCAGCTCATATTGACGTTCCACAGCAGTCCACGCAGTGTGTGAGTGACAGGGAGCCAGGAGAGATTTGACAGGACATAATCTCGTAGATATGGCCAGTGAAATCTGACTAGGCAACAGTGAGGAGCAGAACGCCTCCATCCATAGACACAGACACGGTCAAAGTTAGCAGGACACTGTTTTCTGGGTGTTGTTATTTGTGGTTAATCTTTGACAATTTCTGTTATATTTTAACGATTTGACTCAGTATGTCTAAAACATTTGAAAATTTTACATTTTGATAACATTGCTAACAATTTTGGGCTAACCCGAGCTATCTGCTATTTCTGAGTAATGTTTTAACTCACCTTATTTTATTGTATTGTATGAATCTCTCTATGTATGATATTCTGATGCCTAACTTTTACATATTTATATCACATTGTTTTTCTCTTAGCCTTATATATATATATATATATAAATATATATATATATACATACACATACATATATTTTGTTAGCATTGACGTTCCTGTCATAACACATCCACCAGAAAAGTCAGATATTTTATTAAAAAAAAGCACTTTCCTCTGAGGCTGCCACAAACACAAGGCACTTCCATTATTTTTTCATGACGTGTGTCCTTCCCAGTTCTAACCTGCAGCACTTGTTCCAGAAGGCTAATGTATCCATTGGTGCATGTGTGTGTGTGTGTGTGTGTGTGTGCCCTCACCTTTCATGGCCTCAGCTGTCTGGATGAGCTCCGTCACACATGCAGCTACACGTTTGGAGTGGACAGCCAGCTGCTGTTTCTGCTCCACTGTGGGTTTCTGCAGCACCTGGAAACATGAGAGGCAGGGTTAGGATTAATACTAACTCCGACCTTTGACCTTATCCTAACCTCTAACCTTAAACCCAATTTACTATTCCATACACTACCACTTTTCTAACCCTAACCTTAACCAACTTCTTATTGTAGCAGCAGTTGAATCACAGAAACACAAACCAAAGATAATTTAATTTAACCCTAACTCACTCGAAGATGTCACTAATCCAAACCACTCCATATGACCGTACGCCCTCTGGGATTAAATAATGTTTCCCTGCATATGGACAAGAGCGCCCTCTCAAATACTACATGTTGACATCACTGCTGAAGAATTGAGCAGTCAATCACCAACACTTCTATCTGCTCTCAGCTCATATTGACGTTCCACAGCAGTCCACGCAGTGTGTGAGTGACAGGGAGCCAGGAGAGATTTGACAGGACATAATCTCGTAGATATGGCCAGTGAAATCTGACTAGGCAACAGTGAGGAGCAGAACGCCTCCATCCATAGACACAGACACGGTCAAAGTTAGCAGGACACTGTTTTCTGGGTGTTGTTATTTGTGGTTAATCTTTGACAATTTCTGTTATATTTTAACGATTTGACTCAGTATGTCTAAAACATTTGAAAATTTTACATTTTGATAACATTGCTAACAATTTTGGGCTAACCCGAGCTATCTGCTATTTCTGAGTAATGTTTTAACTCACCTTATTTTATTGTATTGTATGAATCTCTCTATGTATGATATTCTGATGCCTAACTTTTACATATTTATATCACATTGTTTTTCTCTTAGCCTTATATATATATATATATATAAATATATATATATATACATACACATACATATATTTTGTTAGCATTGACGTTCCTGTCATAACACATCCACCAGAAAAGTCAGATATTTTATTAAAAAAAAGCACTTTCCTCTGAGCCTGCCACAAACACAAGGCACTTCCATTATTTTTTCATGACGTGTGTCCTTCCCAGTTCTAACCTGCAGCACTTGTTCCAGAAGGCTAATGTATCCATTGGTGCACTCAGAACTGTACTGCAGGGCCTTGTTCCTCAGCTCCTCGCTCACTTCCTGGTTGTGTGCCGCTTGCTGTAAGGGTGTGAAAACAATGTCGTTTGAAGAAAGAAGTAGTTGAAGAAAAAAACATAAACGCTGTTTCTGTTGATACAGGAACAATACCAGACACCAAAACTGGGTTTTCATAAGCAGCATAATAAAGACGCCCTGTTTGGTCGGCTGCAGCTGATTCTCAGTGATTTAAACAGGTGCTGAGTCACGCTCTACTGACTCAACCGACGGACCAACTAGACTCTCTAACATCCTGTCTGCTCTCACTGGACCGGGCTCACCAGTTCTGGCAGAGCAGTGTGTGGATTTGCACCTTGCATGAAATCAACATTTCAGAGATGGCTTTGCGGCTCAGGTTGGCAGTGGCGATCACGTCTTCTTGCTGAGCCGAGTTGCCCGCGGCCACTGCTTTGGCTGTTGCAATGGTGATGCCTTTGGTCATGCGGATGAAGTCCTCAGGTGTGGTCACCCTATCTGGAGTATCCTTAGACTGGAACACCTGAGATTGGTTCAGATCACAAACGTGTTGTGGTTAAGTCATGAATGCCAAGTGATGCAGCTCTTAGTTACACTGTGTCAAATTAGATTTTTTTCTCAGCTCTGGTTAAAGCCTCTTCTCAGGTTTTCTGTTGATCAAGGAGGAGAAAAAACAAAGACTCTGTCGACCACGACACCACTCTTACTGTCAGCTCCTGCTTGATGCACTCGATGGTGGCCTCCAGTGCCCTCGTCCCACGAGTGGCCTCGTCTTCCACAGCCTTCACTGTTTTTAGAAGAGACGTCACGTTGGTTACCATGACCTGGCAAAGAAATGAAGTTATAATTAGGGTAAAGACAGACCAGAAGGTGGCGCATTTCCTCCTCCTCATGGCCTGCAGAGTGTTACGGTGTAAAACCAAGGCTGGTTTTCATTTCTAAATACCAAGATGAGTGTATTTATTGAAGCAGTGACACACGTTGTCCCAGCGATGCTTCCATCAGGAAAGTAAATCTTATTGGGTAAAGAATTTGAGAAACATGATCACCGAGGAGTTCAAGGGGCTCTCCTATTGAGGTCACCATATGTTGCAGGAACAGAAACAATCTGTCAACACGGCCAGGGTTATGGGGGGCCCTAATTCCATTTACATAAAAAAAACTGGAACCATGTGCAACAGTTTGACCTACAAGCTTTAGGTATTTTTTTAACCATTTTTATGTGAAAACATTTGTAAATTGGATTCAACAGATTTTAAAGTAAATGAGAGAAGGACTTTTTTTTAATTAAAACTGAATTTTTTTTTGATGCCAAAAATGTCTTGTTCTGTTAAACTGACTGCGTGTGTCTTTGTTGTTTGTTTGTCTCAGTTCGTACCAACTTCCAGAGTACTGTTTGATTTGAGGAGTTTACAGCAATGAAGAGAATTCCAGCTCTCAGTTTTGTGCTGCATTTATTTTGTGTTTATTGTAGTCCTGACACACCGTGACCTGCAGTAATATGCTGACCGCCACACAGTTCTGTGTGAGGAATTGGACTCTGCATCACTAAAATCAATGCACAGTTAACCCTGAAGAGACGTGGTTGTTTTTTTACCTTGGCTGCACTTTTCAGCTGATACATGGACGGGTCGTCGGCTACTTTTCCTGAGGCACATTTGGTGGCACCAATCAGTTCTGCCAGAGCTTTGGCCACATCGCGCACTGCATTTATCAGAACCACCTAAAGAGACAGTGATCGTTCAGACACAGAGGATAAAATGGAGATTTATCCTTATAGCTTAGCCCCCCTCCAAACTCTCCAACCTTATCACTTCCATCTTAACAACATCATTTACACTAATGGCAGAGCTGAATGAGACCATTTAACACTACAGGAAAAGAGACTGCAAAAGTGTAAAGAGGTAATGGTGCTCATTGTTTTGAAAAAAGCTATTGTAATTGTAAGATTTTTGCAAATAATTTACTTTGACAACTTAGGTAAATCAATCCCAGCAGTCACTGGACAAGGGAGGGTCAGGGCCACGTATATTCAGGATTCCTTGCCAAGTGTGCCTGAAAACCCAGGCACACTTGGCAGAACATGTGAACTCCATACAGACAGACTGGGAATCCAAAAACTAGCGGTCCTCTGATCTGCATGCTGTAAGGCAACAGCACTAGCCACTATTACATATGTCGTGGAAAGGAATCAGAGAAACACACACACACACACACACACACACACAGGGAGAACATATGAAGACCGGTCAAAACTCACAAGAATTGTCTTATCATCAATCTATTAACTTCTACTAACAAACAGGAAGCTGAAAAACTGAACCGAATTGATGTTGTTCCTGTAACTGTGACTTGTACCTTTATCAACAGTTTATTCCACATCCTCTACAGTGCTATGTTCTGCACAGGTGTTCAAAAAAAGTTACAGTAGTTAAGAAATCAAATTGTAGCTCTGATCCGACCGTGTAATGTCTGTTGTAAGTCAACCAACATATTTGATTTGTCAGAAATTCATCCGTTCCCCTTAAACCCCTCGTCTTAGCAGATAATGAGTCATCGATCCCCCTGAAGCTCCCGACAAAGGGAGTCCGATGAAGCTGAAAATTGGCTGACAAATTGACTGAGTAATGGGCGGACAAAGGGTGAAGAGGTGGTAAAAATTGTACAGTGTGTATAATCTGACAACAAAGCTCTGAGGTGTGGAGACAAGTGTGTCTTTGACACAGCTAAAGATAAAACAGGTATTCTGGAGTTGTTTTTATCACCTGTGTCTCTGGGTCCTCTGAGCCCATGCTGGTCGCTCCCAGCTTGACCACATCACTGAGCTGAGTGATGGTCTTGGCTGAGGACTGGGCAGCCTGAGCCAGTTTGTCCTGACTGGATGCTGCTCCAGCGACCAGCAGCTTGGTGTCCTCTACAAGTGCCTTGGCCGTCTTCAGGATGCTCTCCCTGAGAAACAGAAAACACACCACGGCATCACCTGCTGCACAGGTTGTCTTCAGCGAAGGCAGCTTTGTATTTGTTTGTATTGTTAATCCCTATTCTAGTTATCTGCTGTACTGTTTGCATCAGAGTCACCGCACCTGTGGTCAGCGAAAGACTCTTCATTCTCTGGGTTCAACGTTCCGGCCGAGGCGAACATGATGGTGGTGTCCAAGTCGGCGATGATGCCCGACACAGCTCCAGCTGCTGTGATACAGGCCTGGGTGCCTTTGTTACCCGCCTGTAGTGCTGACAGCACCAAGGACACCTGGAACATGTGGAGGGTCACATTAGACATACAGCAGAGTCCTTCAAATGTGTGTGTGTGTGTTTTTGTCAGGTGTGCAAAAATGCAGTGAACAACAAAGTTCCCCGTGAGTCCGTACACTCATTGATTGTGTGGGAATGTGTTTACGCAGCAGGGGAAGTGAGGCTGCAGGTGTGAAAGTGTAAGATCACAATGGTGTGGATTAAAGCCCAGGTCCATCACTAAGACAGGAGAGCAGGGCTGAGCACGCATTACGTCAATGAGTGTGACTGTGCAAATCAAGTGTCTGCTGTGAAGAATGTGTTCATCCATCACTTAGAAATACATTTAAATGTGTTCATCCATCACTTAGAAATACATTATATATTACTATATAAGTAATATATATTACCTACAAGTAGGTAATGTAGGGCTACAAGTAGGTAATATATAGCTGAGTAAAGTAAAAAATAAACAAACAAAAAAAAAAGAAAAGAAAAGAAACCAAACAGGGACTATTTTTATTTTGGTGTTAAATGAATGGAGAGGAAATTAAAGATGATTAATATTTTACTGGTGGATTTGGTGCATTAAAAAACCCAAAAGTAATATCTGTAATATTTAAAAGATCACAGTGAACTGTCTCCAAAAAAATAACAATACCCTAAAAATCTGGAATGAGTATCCATTAAATATCTGCACTTTGTGAACAAAAAAACAATGAGACACCCGGAAGAAGATTTATAATAATTCTTAAGTTGAATAGGCCAAAAACAGCTGGAAATTATCTAATATTTTCTTAAAATTAGAATAAAAATATACAAGTGAAAATATATATATATATATATATAAAACAAAATTTACCAAGCACAACAAAGTCTCAAAAAAAAACCCTCCTGATCTTCCACAGAAAAACTGCTCTGATTGTGTTTCTTGTAGAAATGCAGACTCTGAGAGTTATCAGCTGTGATAACAAACTGCAGCAGTAAAAATAGACTTCCCCTTGAAAAATCTGCATCAACCAAAGCTTTTTTTTTTTTTTTTTTAACAAAAAAAAAAAAAATGATGCTGACTTATCTTACCTTCTCTGTCACTGCACGAGCACACTCGATAAGCTCCCGTTTAGAGAAGCTGTCTGTAGGGCTGAGCTGCAGGGCTCCAGCCTTCTGCACCAGGAAGATACAACCGTGGCCCAGCTCCTGTACTCTGGTCTTTATCTGGAAGCCAACCTGAAAACAAACACCAAGTGTCGGCTTTCACTGCAATTTAAAAAAAATAAAAAAATATTTTTATTTTCTTCTCAGTTCATAGACCTCTTCAAGTGGTATTTTATTCTTGGAATTCTGGGAGATGCTTCTCTGTCCCAGCTAAGAACTTAAACCAAGTTCCTTTCAAAATAAAATAATAATTTTAGGAATAAAATTAAAAATAGTGAAATCAGGTGTCTGACACAAAAGAAATAATTTTATCAACAAAAAAAATTCAGTATGAAAATTTAAATGAAATGAAAATTTAGTTGATTTCTGTATAAAATTGTTTTCAATGTTGGATTTTTTTGTGTTTTTATTTACGTTGTCTTTAACAAATAACCACAAAAGAAATTCCCCTGTGACGTCCAGTAAAGCTTGAAGTCTGAATCGGTTTGGTCTGCAGCTCGGGAATTCAAGACTCTTTCAACAATTGAATCCTACATACATTTATAATGCTCTAAATGGCACAGTGGTTGCAGTGTGTGGCTTCTCACCTCCTCTGGCTCTGCAGTCGCTGCAGCCAGCCTCCCCTGGTGGGCTAGATGTCCGTAGTCCACTGTCACTTGAGAGGCGAGGCCGCCAAGCTCCTCGGGGCAGGTCACTGACTTGGTCATCTGGAAAAAAAAAAAAAAAAGGAGGACGAGGGTAAAGACACAGGAGAAGGTGCCAAAAGGACAACCGTCAGTCAGACGCCTTACCCTCACTGATGTGC